GCCGGGCCGCGCCGTCGGTGCGAGCGGGGCTGCCGGAGCCGCGTACGCCCGGAGCAGTTCCGAGCTGCGTCCAGAACTTCCTTTGCAACTTCTCGCAGGAGAGGCTGGCATTTACAGTTACATGCATTATTCAGATTATTTTTTACTGTATAAAGCAAAAAATAAATTTGCACTGCGATGTGAGTGGTTTTGTTTTATGTTTTTTTCTTTTAACTTTGGAGCCTTGAAGACATTTTGCTGGAGACGCGGGTGGGGGGTTAGTCCTCCGAATTTGTCGGGCCGGCGATCCTTGCGTGTTACTTTCTATCTTTGCATTTTAGTGTGGGAGGAGAGGCTGCAGGAGTTGAAAGAAAGGTTTCTAGAAATGCAAGCATCTTAAGCCTAATGATCATCCAGTTTGATTCGCGAGTGACTCGTACTTCAAAAGGAAAATACGGTTTTTGTGGAGATGCAGAGGTAGCTAATCTGATTTGCTGACTACCCTAAATTCTGTGTAAAAAAAATAGTACTTGTGTTTTTAAACTTTTATTTTCACCGACGAAAGTCCGCGGTAAATTTTAGTGCTTTTTTTTAGGGGGCTTGTGTTTAAAAAGTACAGCAGATCTTTGCTAAGAAAAAGGCATACACAGGGGAAATTTTTTTGAAACCAACTGTATTTCTTTTATTCTTCCAATAGGAGTCCGCTGCTTTTGTAATTCAAGCGATCTAACGGGGGTAGCCTGGCTGAGATCGGTGTAACCTTGAAGATAACCTTACTACTTAATCTGATCTCATGAGGAGGGAACCCTCATTGTGGAAAGGACAGCAAATACCTCAAAATGCAGAAAGTACCTGAATGTTGGCTTTCAATTTTTCTTGCAAAGAGCAGAGTAAATTCAGAAACTTTTACTAAGTGCCCATCTTTCTCTTTGAATGATACAGATCTCTGGGATACTACCTCGAACCTTGATTTGTGGAGAGACTAACAATACCAGTCTTAATTGTACTCTAGTTCCATTTTCAGAAACATTTCATCGAGCCAACCTAATTGTCCAGCCCTATATACACTGTTTAAATTCTATGGAGAATCAACAGTTGCTAATCTACACCCCCAAAGTATTACGAATTGGTCAGTTTTTAAACTTGAAACGAATCTGATCGGAAGCTCCCAATGGCATATGTAGGTAAACTATTCATACTTTATCCTGTCCTTTAAAAGGAAGTTTTATCCAAAACTGTACACGGCGCTGCCCACAGTATCTTTTACCTTTAGTTGTTGGGTAGGTAAGTCCTTTCATAGGTGCTTGTTTTCTGGGTTACAAGAGAAAGTTGTCACCAGCTGACATTATTTATCCCATAGTACAGTTGTGTGCTTTTCTCTTTATTTTAAAAATGCATCCACTTTTTACTCTTTGAGTTCTGCACGCGGGTGAAAACAGCCAGTGGAGAATTTTCATTATTGATGATTCTTGGAAGATGGATTTGCATAATCAAGAAATACAGCTTTCCAGTCAGTGTTACTGACATTCCCTTGGTGCAGGTAACTTTCTGTGAAAGGTCTACTGTCTAGCATGAAAGTAATTTGTAGTTTCAAAAAGTCCTCGAGGGGAAGGAGGAAAGCAATATTTTGAGGGAACCGAAGGAAAGATGGGCTAGATAATGACTTTTTAATAAATGCTAGTCTCAATTGGAAACAGAAAAGATGTTATGGTATACAGGATGTACCATGTGGAGGGGATTCTTGGGGAGCATAATTTTGCTTCCAGAGCTCCTGATTGTCAATCATACACATAAAAACAAAGTTATTTTAAAATAAAATCACCTGAGGGGGCTGGGGATTTAGCTCAGCGGCACAGCCCTGCCTGGCAAGCACGAGGTCGTGAGTTCGATTCCCGGTACCGGGCAAAAAAAATCACCTTTTGGCAGATAGCACAAGACTTGACTAGCAAGAGGGCTACGTTGGGGACATATTTTCTTGTGGAATAGCCCCAAAAGCATTCCTGCCAGAGGCATCTGACCGCAGAGAGAAGCCCCGCAGTGTGTAAGACTGGAGCTCCGAGGAGGCCGTGAGAGTAATTCATAGCCACATTTCCCTCCCTGTTGTTTATTACACCTCATTGCCTCCCTTGGAAAGAAACTGACATGTACTTTCACTTTCTCGCTGAATAATCGCCTTTATAATTGTAACAAAAGATAAATGGAACGATCATCTTCAGAAATCAATTAGGTCAGATCCGTAATGCCCAAAAGGAGAATTATGACCATTGTCATAAAATCTGAAAGGTTATTGGTACCACTAGCATAATTAAGCAAAAATACTGAAATTACCCGTCTGACTGTCTAATGAGGTTCATTAAGTGTTTTGCTAGATTCCACCATTGGGAAAGCAAAATCATTGTACAGCTAGGTCATTGCCCCAAGGGAAAGCGCAGAAAAGATATTACATGAAATGTTTAAGGATCAAAATTTGGATGGTGAAAAAAAGTGTTGGTGACCTATTTCACTTTTGGAAGCTGGCAAGTTAAAAAAAAAAAGTAGGTGAAAGCTAAGAGGAGGAAAGTATGTAGCACTTAGAATAAGATAGGTACCGTTCTTTTAAAAGTTTAGCACCGCTTTCTAAAAATACACTTCTTGCTTTTGAGTTAAATTTCAAATCTGACAATTACATTATAATTGGAGAGTATTTTATCTTGCAAGTCAGAGTTTGTCAAAAAGCCAGATAGTGTCCAATGTCACAGAAAAGTTCAGACCAAAAAATGTCCACACACTGGCAATTCAGACCATTTATGTAGTTACAGCGCTCTTTTCTCTTGGCAGTAATCTCTACTCTGTGCTTGAATAGTAAACAATGGTAGATGTTTGGTATCACTCAGCATAGCTACTGAAAAAGTAGGTTGCTATTTTAATCTGTACAGGGCATTTAAAAACTTCACTAAAAAGCACTGTGTACATACAGGGCAAGGGCTGATTTTAGTATGCTGTTAACATTACTGTAATAATTGGGGCTGGGGATTTAGCTCAGCGGCAAAAGCGCCTGCCTGGCAAGCGCAAGGTCATGAGTTCCGTTCCTGGTACTGGAGAAAAACCAAAACAAAACAAAAAAAACCATTACTGTAATAGATGGCAGAACAATGACTAAAAAAAATTAGGAAATGAAAATAGTTCCCTGCTTTGTTTTAAAAACAGATCTACATTCTCTTCAATAAGAATTTAGGTCGAATAAAAATCTTCCCTGCCTTTAACTTCTGCGTGAATGAGACTCACAAAGTATGTTCTAGATAAATACATTCAGATACTTCATTTGTTTAACAAAATCGAGTACCTATTATGCTCCAAGCACCAAAGATATACACTAGCTAAAACATCAAAAAGTGTTATGAAATAGTCTAATGGGAGTAGATTTCTCTATAGTAACTTTATAATTGTATCTTCATTTTTAAAAAAATGTTAATTCATATGAGAGGTGCCATTTATTCCCCAAAGCGGAATTACATGTCAGTGAAACCAGGAGATCTTGAAAAGCTTTGATGGAATCATAACATATGTCTGACTATCTTATGGAGCTTTTCTGCTCCTGGAGAACTCTAAGGGCTGTGTAGCTAAATGTCACATTTTCTGAATATTCTAAACTTCTAGATGTTCTAGGAGTTCAAAGAATCAAAAGCAGACTGACT